AATATTTACATTTGGAAGAGGTGAGGCACTTTGAGAGTAAAGTATCTTGCCTGAGAACACCGTCAACGCAATGTTCAATTCGGCCACCATGCGTCCTCCTCCGGTCCTTATGATTGAAGTGGACTGGAATGGAATAAATTTGAGAGGGTGGAGCCCTTATACTATTGCGTAACCAACAGCGACTTAAGGCGACTTAAGGAAATTTAAGGCGATTTAAGGTCCCAGAGTAGGCGTAATGACCGTTAAACCCCAAAATCTTGTACAGTACGCTTGGGCCGCTTGTAAATAAACTGTATAAAAAAAAGTATGAAAACGTGGTCTATCAGGACAGTTAACTCGACAGATACTTAGAGACAATTTTTTAACATTTAACAATGCAGTTATTTTTGTAAAAAGGCTTATTGATCGTGGTAAAGTGCAATAATGATAAAGTATTATTGTTTGTCTCACGATATGGTCACCAGAGAACGACCGCAGCCTCCAAGACAGGCACAAGGTGCTAACACCTGCTCAAACCGCCGAACTTCTGAATTTCGTTTTGAGATCCACTAAGTTTCAGTTTATAATAAAGTTCAGATATAACGCGTGCTGTCATTGGTTGAAAGGGCGTGCTCTATCAGAGTATAGAACATGGAGTTGAAGCTGTCACGCCATTTTCCAATTAGTAACATGGCGGACCAAATCCCGAATCTTTCTCTCGGATTTTTATTCGACCCAGAAGTCCTCTACGACCTAGAAGACGAAAGAGGAAAAGAGCTATTAGCGTCGATCAATTTAGAGGATACTGTCAATGAAAATGCGACCTACCCTTTAACTGAAAGTGAGGTTTCTAACAAAGGTAATTACGAAAACAATGAGCGCGGCGGCAATTTAAACAGGCAAAGATATGGAACGCCATAACTGTCTTATGATATTTTGTTTTCTTATCCATGGTCCTTTTCTTATCATCTTCGGTGTTTGTATCATGATGTTCGGTGATCTGGTTGCTATAATCGGTGCCAGTCACATTATACTCGGCTCTTTACCCAAGGTACTCGGTACTTTCCAAATTATACCTGGTGCGAAAGCCATTATACTCACTGCTAACCGCTTTATACTGGGTGCTTGGATCAGTTTAAGCGGTGCAGCTTTCTTTATATTCGGTGGCTAGTTTGTCATGCTCTGTGCTTTTTCCATAGTCAGTTTGCACCTGATTTGTGGTCAGTTTAGCATCTGGTTTGGTGCAAACAACTTGCTACTCGGTGCTCAGCGATTCGGTTCGTAGAGCATTATATTCGGTTCGTAGAGCATTATATTTGGTTCATAGAGCATTATATTCGGTGCGTTTGCAACATGGTATTCGCTGAGCCAGTATATTTGGTCATCTAAACTACTCCAAAGCACATGCTCGCATCGTGTTCGTAAGACTGGTCCCCAGAGCCCATCGTTTCGATTGATCATGTGAGCGAGCGGCTCTAGGACGAGAATTGGCGATATCTGCGGTCAGCGAACATGACGTATGTACACCAGTCACAAAATGTCGACCATATCGACTATGTCTTCGGTGTTAAGAAAATTGAAAATGGACGGTTTGATAGATCGGTTCGAAGAAGAAAAAATATCGCCTGACATTGTTTGTAAACTGCCCCTGCATGAACTCAAGGAACTTGGCCTACAAAATCGGTGCGACATGATGACTTTAAGAATGGCCTGTGCAACGTTTGGTGCGGAACAACCAATGAAATTTCCAAGTGCTCTCGGACTTCCTGCTTTCGATATTCCAAAGTCAGTACACTTGAATGTTATTTGGAAGAAGAATTCTCTATCTCAGAAATTGCTATTATGATGTCATGAAGCCTGAAAGTCAGTAATCCCTGTGCATCATTCAAAGAATCGAGTGATACAAGACAGATGTTAGCGGCCAAAGTGGAAAGTCTAAAAGCAACTGTATATTCAGTGCAGGCCAAGGCAGGAAATAAGCATGGCAAACGGAGTTAGAGGGTTTCTAGAGTCGAGGGAGAGTGGTGTGGTATTGAAATAGCGAGTTGCTTTTAGACTTAACCCAAAATCAAACTTAGGCACAGGTTCTCGGTGGGTGCTCGCAATTTGTTTTTTTTTTCTCAATGTGCAAATCAGGTCAGTAATATATAAAGCAGATTACGGTACTTTAAATCAGATAAGTAGTGTACAAGGTATTTCCACAAAGCAAAAAAGGAGACGACTTGAAAGCAACAGAAAACAGATATATTTCAAAAGCAGCAAAGTAGATGATCGATCGATACACAAAACACATGAAATCTCAAAGCAAACACCGATTCTTGCCCAAAGGCTGGTACATAGAAGTTTAACAGTAGTTTCTACGGAGAACGGAAATAAGGTAATAGCTGTAAAGTATAAGCAGGAGAACTGAAAAGTAGAAAAAAAAGGGATATGTGAAAATTTCAGATAGGTACTCGAGGCTGCTGGGCCTCGAATTCGGGCCGCCAGACTACCAATCCAGTGCTTTACTACTGTAGCATGGGATTCGCCACGTCACCGAGGGGGAAAACTTTCAATAAAAATAGGTAAGACGCATTTCAAAATGGATTAGAGGAGTGATCAAAAGAGTGTGTGTCTGAAACAATTTGGAAATAGAGATTTCATCAAGTGCTCCTCTTCCTCGTACCTCAAATACAACAAAACAATCATTCGAGACAGATTTTTCGATCATTTTTTTAACTGCGCTTTAAATATTTACCTCTTCACCCGTATATTAAGATGTGGCAGGAGGGCACGGGTGCCTGCTTCCTTACCTTGTAAAGATTGCGAAGATATATACGTTCGCCGATGGTACAAACACCAAGTAGAGCTAACTCGCTGTTTGAAGCTGAAATTACGGTGTCAACTTCCACTTTCTCATCATTAAATCTGTCAACTAGAGTTCCCCAATTCAGTTCTCGAGGTATGTCATCCATAAATTTAATCGATAAAAATGACCTGTAAGGTTACGGTTTATGCGAAGGCGGGAAGAAATTGCTCCTGGCGCGTTATCAGTCTGTACGTCATGTATCGTACATGTTCACTTACCGTAGTCGCTCGCTGACCACGTGATCAATCAAAACGGTGGGCTCTGGGGATCAGTCTCACGAATACGATGCGAGCATGTGCTTTGGAGTAGTTTAGATGACAAGATATATTGGCTCAGCGAATACCATGTTGCAAAGGCACCGAATATAATGCTCTACGAACCGAATCGCTGAGCACCGAGTAGCAAGTTGTTTGCACCGAGTAGCAAGATGTTCGCACAAAACCAGATGCTACACTGACCAAAAATCAGGTGCAAACTGACAATGGAAAAAGCACAGAGCATGACAAACTAGCCACCGAATATAAAGAAAGTTGCACCGCTAAAATGGATCCACGCACCGAGTATAAAGCGGTTAGCAGTGAGTATAATGGTTTTCACACCAGGTATAATGTGGAAAGTACCGAGCACCTTGGATAAAGAGCCGAGTATAAGGTGACTGGCACCGATTATAGCAACCAGACCACCGAATATTATGATGATACAAGCACCGAAGATGATAAGAAAAGTACCACGGATAAAAAAACAAAATATCATAATACAGTTAAGGCGTTCCATTCAAAGATTTGAAAACATGTCAAGTGCCGCGCTAGACGAGATAATTGTAAGAGCAGAAACAAAGAAAACCAATACGAATGATGCACGATCCTCGCAGTAGAGAGCGCTATTTATGCAATAGCGAAAATCAGACCTGAATAAAATCAGGCCTGTCCGGGACTCGAACCACTGACCTCTGCGATACTAGTGCAGCGCTCTACCAATTGAGCTAACAAGCCAACTGGGAGCAGGCCGTTAAGTTGATTCGTAATAAACCTGTGATGATAAATCAGATACGGTGAATATGTGAAGTTCATATATTTTGAACTGCGGTTATAGCTACGTATAATGCACGATCCTCGCAGTAGAGAAATAATCTATACAAGGATTTCATGCTAGTANCCTCCAAGGCTAAGGTCAACAATGCCTCCCTTGCTGAGATAATGCAAACTGCTGGGTGGAGTTCAGCAGCCACTTTCGCTCGGTTTTATGATAGGGAGATTGAACAAGGTTCCTCGTTTACTAACAGGGTACTCAGCCTAAGTTAAATTGGTATTAAAGAGCTTCTTCTGATTATAGCGTGTGCTATCAGTTGCTTTGAAATCTCACGTGACTTCGTAGTGCGTATGATGACGAGGCAGAATCAAAAATTAAACGAGACTTACCTTAAGTCGATGTTTGATTGGGATTCTGCCGAGACATCAGTAGCTCAAGGAGTCACGCCCATACCCTATAGAGGTATTTATACCCACCCACACTTCTTCTGCTACTATTCACCTGATTAGCACACTCAAGGCTTTAAAGACTGACCACTTGAGCGGCTGGTGCTTTCTCACGTGACTTCTTGTGCTACTGATTACTCGGCAGAATCCGAATCAAACATCGACTTAAGGTAAGTCTCGTTTAATTTTTGATTCTTCGTGATAGCTTTTGATGGTTTGACATTTTTGACAGCTTTGGTCTTGTTCATCCAATCAAGTTAGGTTGCACATTCTAACAAGGATTCTGATTGGCTTATTGTAAGCGTGCTCTGTCAGAGTATAGAACATGCTGATGACACTGTTGTTCGCTTTGAAAATAAAGTTTGTTTGGAAATTGCAAGGAGTGTGTGGCGAATTTAACGGATTCTTTATTATAAAACAAATAGAGAAGCCTTGACTGTGCTCTGCTCTGTAGTAGAGCACTTAGGAAGCGGCTAGAGCACTCAATAAGTGGGGAGAAACACTCGACAACGTCTCGTGTTTCTCCCTACACTTCCTTCGTGCTCTAGCCGCTTCCTGCGTGCTTTACTACAGAACAGAGCACAGTCAAGGCTTCTCTATTTGTTAAATAGTGGATCGATTTATGAACAACAAGAAGGCGTAGCCATGGGGAGCCCAGTTTCGCTGTTATTGCTAATCTCTACATAGAAAGTTGGAGAACAGGCAATAACCTCATCATCTTACAAGCTTTAGATCTTGAAACGTTGCGTTGATGACACCTTTACACCTCAATGTGCTTCAGCATGGAGCTGCCGAGCCCGCTACCGAGTTCAATATACTCTGGTTTCAGGGCACGAATTGTCGATCAGGAAAATATCCCTGAGGTCATCAGGAAGGGGGTATTGGGGTCTATTGGAAACCGCAAAACCGTAGGAAGAAATCATCCAAAGCCACAAAAGTAAAGGAAAATTCTTCATTGCAGAATTTTTTGTGCTCGTGTGTCAATGTGCCTGTCTATTGCGTCCTATTTAAGCTGAAATTTTCAGAGCTTAGAGGTCATAAGAAAAAAGACTCAGTGACTCACTTTGGTCGGGCCAGACGGGAAAATATTTGGCTCTTGTTCACGAGGCACAGACCTTGCTTCGATCTCGAAACTTCAGACCTCGAAACTTCAGACTTCGAAACTCATCAGACCTCGAAACTTCAGGTCGCTTCACCCCTTGAAAAAAGATTGAAATTGTAAACACAGCTCTACATGAATGAATATTTATTTACGATAACTGTCGCGACTAACCCCAAGTGTTAAGTCACGCAACAATCCCGCATTGATAATTGGAGAAAGCAGGCGCGTAGCGTCCTCTACGCATATACGCACGTGCGTACTTGAAGTGACCAGAAAAATTTGAAAACAATGTTGTGTTTGCGCCACGTTTGCTCAAAATAAGGGCAAGACGCTTTGTTCTTTGCTTGTATTCACACAACTATTTCAAACAAGAAATAAAGAACGCAGTATTTTTCGCTCAGTTTACTTAGGTTTCTAGATCATATGTACTTGTGCGTACTTGAAAAAATGACCACGCTACGCGCCTGCCACCAACCCACCCCATGGGAGGACAACCATCACACAGTAATCTCGTGTATGGGAAATTATCTATTACGAACACTACTGGAATCAAACTCGAAAGATACAAATGGGCTTCGAATGGGCAGTAACTTATTGTAATTTCTCGTTTCTTTTGAAGCTAGACGACGACGTGTTCGTGCATATCCCAAGAGTTCTCTCCTTCTTGAGTGCGCCCAGCACGCCGAAGAAAAAGCTTTACGCTGGTAATCACTACACAAATAATATTCCTTTTAGGGGAGGTAAATGGAAAGTAACTTACGAAGAATATAACCAGACAAGGTATCCGGATTTTTGTCCTGGCTTTGGATATATTTTATCTCACGACGTTGTAAGTGCATTTGTTGACACGTTCTCTTCTTTTCCGTATTTTCGACTAGACGATGTTTACGTTGGCATGCTAGCCGATAGGAACGGAATTAATGTCACGAACAATAACGGATTTGAGGTATGGCATCCACCTGGACATGTTTGTGTTCCAACAAATTATACTTTAGTTAGGCATGATGTCGGAGAAGAGTGCCAGATGAAAATGTTCAAGACAGGATTTTTTTCTTGAGTAGTTCAATATCATAATTAATGCAAGCAATTTTCTAATTATTTCAGGCATAGTTTTCATATTAAATATTTATTCTTTGTCGATGTGTAGTTGTTTATAGCCTTTTTGTTTCGAATGACAGAGGGCTAAAGCTCGAAATGTCTGATTTAAAAACTTTAAACAGTGGTCAGTTTACATCAACAAGCCCACTTAGGCACCCTTTCTTCAGAAACTTACCCTCTCCAATTGTACGGCGGATTTGTTCATGTAACACCGGTATTCGTGTATTCTATCATCATTGTGACAATCTTCTATTTAATTTTAATTTTTATCTTATGCAACAAATTTAAACAATTTAAAACTCATCATGATCAGCATCAAAACTCATGATTGATATCATCGAACCAACGATGATATCATTAGGTACCAAAATAATGCATTTCATAAGAAGCATGCATTCCCAAAACTGCCTCAAGGGTTAGTTAAATAATGTGGGATTTCATAACTTGCGCCAATGCTAAAATTTGCAACTTCGATTCATTAAATTCACAGGACTACCGTGGTCAGGGTTCTTACATAACTTAAAATGATCGGTAGTCGAAAATTTGTCAAAAAATTTATCAAACACAAGGTAGCTAAGAATCTTTTCAAAGCCGGATGGAAAAATTGATAGAGCTTCCTTTCCAGTTAAGAGCTTCAAGCGCCCTAATATACTCTGTTATTTTTTAGCGAACGAATTTTCGGAAAACGCGATAAATATGACTGATCATTTTCATTGTTACGCATCGCGAGAAAGATGTTTAGTGGATAGGATTAGGAAATTGCAATGTTATAGGAGAAAGGTCTAGGACGAACTTATCCAAGTTTTAGGTCTCTTTGTTTTCCCAAACTTGAGATATTCGTCGAAATGTTTAGCTCAAATTTACAGAGTCCAGTATATCTTTGGTCCTCCAACATGGCGGCCGGAAATAGTGTAAAACATCTGGAACTTACTTTGGGTATCTAGCTCACTGATTATGTAAACTAAACCAACAACATGTACAAAAACACTCTTTTTAACAATTCATTCGCTAAAAAGGCTAAAAATCACTAGGTAACTCTATATTTTTCGACAAACACGATCGGCATTGTGTCAGTCACGCAACCACCACC